GGTGTAGTTTCTTAGGGCGTAAAAGATGCAAAACACTACCGATTTTTTTTTTTAGCTCGGCAACTGGGACCTACAATATACAATTGACTGAAATGCATGAAAACCATTTTGCATTTAGGTAATAGCCGTTTTCTGCACCCAAACTTTAGCCAGTGACGCCCTGTCCATTCTACAGCGTTTATAAGATTGTTCCCAGCACCCGATTTTATATGAGGAAGTCGTTTAAAAATCATCTTATTTCTAACGAATTTATTATTATGGCCACTTTTACAGGACGTCTATAGAGCTTTGACTTTTACATTTCTTCCTCGTTCAGGAGAAACGTTTTAACCCTCACCGGACCTTCAGGTTTTCTTAATACCGAGGGGACGTTGGGGGTTGGAAGTGAGGAAACACTTCCAACCCCCCTTCGCCGATTCGCCCCTAATTGAGCTAGAGCCTCACGAAAGAAACGATCGTGTGCGTCGTTACGAAATGCAGCGATTGGTCTCCGATTTAAGGACCAGGGTCAGACGATGACTTCGGAGGTCAGGTCAAGTGGTCCAAGGCACAGGTTCGGTTTTTGGTAAATAACTTCGCTAAAAATGATCGCAGATCCGCGATTTTAGCAGCATCGTGTTTGTCTAGCTCAGGCGTGTCGAATGGTATACTTTTTCTTCGGGTGAGATCAACTTAACCCTCGCCCGTATAGAGGGGGGGGGGGGTCGAACGGACCCCCCTCCCTCGGTTTTTCGCGAATAACTCGCGTAAAAAGCGGCCGATCGCGACGAAACTTTTGTTACCCTCACGTTAATCAATTTTACACCCACCCTGAAATTGTCATGACCCTGACCTTAATGACCTTTGACCTGCGACCTACTTTTCGAGACCATGTTTGGCCGGAATCGCGATTCGGCGTATGTCGGCTCGCATTAGCGGCGCGTTTGCAGTCTTTTCGTGGTTTTAAGCGTTCAAACATGGGATATGATGTTGCTTCCATGCATTAGGGTGGGTGTCAAGGTCACCGGAAAGTCAGGTCAGGTCATTGACCTTTGATGACCTCGGTTCACTTTTTCGAGTTTAACATGTTTCTAGGCCAGTTTTAGGAGCTGAATTCGAATTTAGCAGCCATATGAACATTTACGAAGTAGTTTTGGTGCCCTCGTAACATGTTGCGAAGCTGTCAGAGGCGGTTGCCACCTACTACGAATACCCTTACTGGTTGACCTGACCTGACCTGACCCGACCTGGCCTAAATGCATGAAGACATCATCTGTGATCAAAACTAACATGATATTCGTGATCAGCACCCCGAAAACCCCATAGCAGCCACGCTTTACGACTTTCCAACAGGCCCGATTTTCCCGACTTTTGGGTCATTGACCTGACCTGGAAAGTCAACCGATGACCTAGGACCTTAAAATTGGGTATCATCGACTTCCTCTCGTCACGGCCAACACGCTCGTTTTTTCCGTGAAGCTCTAGCTCGACCAGGGGCGAAACGGTAAGGGAGGGTCCAACGGACCCCCCCCCCCCTTCCTTATACGTTTGCGGCTGGAAAAACACCAATGCGGGCGAGAGTTAAGGTGTTAACCTCGGGTCAAGGTCAGGTCACAGCCCGTCAGGTCACGAAGCTGGTCAAAGGAGGTCATATTGCATATCAATCGATTCGGCAGGTCTTTTCATGTCCATTAGTGGCTTTATCGACTCGGTAGCTTTAGTTGATCGGGAGTTATTGACGAAAAACTGATACCCTTGGTTACGTGATAAATGACGTCACGCAAGATCAACAAAGCAAAATTAAAGCATCAGACCTTGCAAGGAGCGCATGAAATCACGATTCCGTGTGCTTGAGAATTTGAGATAGTTGTATATATTTCCGGACCAAACTAGCACTTTCCATATTCCCCTGACTTTTAATGGTGAGAGACTGACCTGATCTCTGGCGACCCTTCAGAAAATCCGAGATATACATTTATACAAGTTGTGAGACTCTCGATCATACTATAAGATCCTGTAAGTTTCATCTCCCTATGAAAGCTCTGCACTGAGGGTGTTGCGAAGTTGGAACATTTTAGGAGTGTGCACAGTGCACACTGCACACAGTCCTAAAATGTTGAGGACAGTTTAGGACAGTTTCACACAGTTCATTTTAGGACTGCTCATTTATGACGTCATAGATCAGTGACCTGACTTGACTTAAAAATGCGGTTGACGTAAAAAAATCCGACTTATCAAATCCCGACTAAAAAAATCGACTTATAATCCGGTTAATCAAATCCCGACCATGTTTTTACCTGGCCATTAATGTTCTAACCTTACAGGTGATTGTTTGAACGCGGAAGATGCTGAATCTTGGTTAACCCCATACTTATCGTATGATAAAGAACGTCAGTGTTAGAAAGTTAATTAACAATTTTATTTAGGATAGTTTAATTCAAGTGGGTATAATCCGACTTGACAATTTACTAGGAGGGTTTTGCAGCGCTATTAGTTCGGCATTTAATTATAAATCATTGCTAACTTCGATCCGGATATCGTTATTCAATGCTGGCCTTTGCGTCCTCAGAAAGTTGTTTATAGTCATGAAGGCTTGCATTGACCCATACTTTCCATTTTTCAGCACTATTATTCGCCGTAGTTGACCAGGTGTTTTCTTCAGCTCTCCCCTGAATCCTTGACTTAGACCTGGCGTATCACCCGTGCATCGCAAGACGCACCTACCACACACAAGTTCATGATCCCCACGAACCCACATCAGCGTCCGTTCGCTTGGTGTGTGACCCCTTGACCTTTGGCCGCGACAACTGCCAGCTTGCTGGAGCACCCATCCCTACACGCGCTGCCCCGCCCGCTCCCCTCCCTCCCCCCCCCCGGGGTCGTGTCACGAAGGTTCGGGCCAGTGGCGCGGGAACTTCTTCCAGACTGGGGGGGCTGAACCATAATAGAAATCAACCTAGGGTACCCCCAAATCTAGTTTTCTCACCGGTTTTAGGCCACTTATTTTTCAGACCTTGGCCTTTTCAACAACAACAAAAAAAAAAACGAAAATATTTTCAAAAAGTGAGGTATTCCGTCTCAGCTGAGCTGAGTGAAGAAACTACTGTTTTGGCAACCTGGAGTAAAGGTTTTAATCTGCCAAATGAGTTGCCGAGCCAGTGAAATAGGTGGATTTTTCACTTACATGCTTTCTTCCTTTGTGACCCACAACCCCTAATTTGGGGAGGACAAGCTGCCCAACGGTTCCTGGCCTCATGAAACGTTGTGGGGCACCGCCCCCACGGCCGCAGAGTTGTGGGGGCAAGCTTCCCCCACTGCCCCCTCCCCCGGTTCCCACGCCTATGTATGAATCTATGAAATTATGTTGGTAGATTTCCGATTTCGATTCCTCCAGCTGGGGGGGGGGGGGCTCAAATACATTACGAGCCCCCCCAGCCGAAAATCTGGGGGGGCTCAGCCCCCCCTAGCCCCCCCGGTTCCCGCGCCACTGGTTCGGGCTTACGCTACTACCGGCCGCTGCGCAGCTGTCACCTAGCGCCTGGGAATGTGTGGTCTGGTGCGGATTCAGCCAACTACCGGCTCGCGACACCAGCGCCACGTAGTGGCGACGGTACATTCTTTTTAGACACACTGTACATTGTAACGTGTTTTGAGCAAAACGTACTGTATGTATTAGTGGTGTCATTTTCCCAAAAATGTCTGACCGATACCGACCGAAACCGAAATTTGGGAAAAATTTCCGACCGAATACCGACCGATAACATCCCAAGCCAAAATTTGACCGAAATTTGACCGAAGTTCTATTTGCTATTACTTTACCCAAAAATTAAGTTATTTGGTACATTCTAGTGGAAAATAATGGGAAATGGCATTTCAGTCCATGTTCAGTCAATTCTTAGCCACTGCAAAATACATTTTGTGGTAGAAGTTACCACAGGAAGTTACATTGCAAAGTGTACACATGGATCTCAGCATTTCACATATTTGGTTAATTAGAATTGTCAAGAATCTACCATGGTCTATGTAATGTGGGGCCAACTGAGTCAAAATCAGCCTGCTTGTAGTTGTGGTTGGACAATGGGTGGCTGCTGCCTGCTTAGTGGGATGGCTTCTGAAGTTGCCAAAATGTGGCATCTCTTGTAGCCTTTGGGGGAAATTTTGCAACCTTTATCATTAACATCCCAATAAATTTCAGTAACTAGGCAAAAATGGAATACTCTCTCTTTTTGAAAATGGTTTCACTGGCAGGGTGACCGAAAGTGTCCGATTTTTAGGGGGCCTGACCGACCGATTACCGAATCGGTCAGCATATCTTTTCGGTAACCGAAATTTTCGGTAACCGATTGACACCACTAGTATGTATGTTGTGCACTGTATGTACATTGTAACGTCATAACGTGTTTGAGCGGGATCAATAGGCGACAACTAAGCCTTCTCTCCCGAAATATATATTGAGTAATTGAGTATTGAGTAATATTGGTAGATAAATAATATGCGATAAATGGGATAAACGAAGTGTCCAACACAAAATGAAAAGAAAGCCTGAAGTCTTTTCCGGATTTGGAAGCAAATCTTGCGGCATAAACAGCGCGCATGCTGCAGTTATTTTACATTTCGAGTATGTTCAGGAAGACTGTGGGCCTTAAATTGCTCGATTTGATTGGGTGATTCCGCGCAACAATTTGCTTATTTTTGCTGTCAGCGCTCACACGGAGACTGGGATAAGATCTTCGAGCAGTACGTTCTGGCGACATGGATCACGTATGTATCTACGCACGCTACCGACGCAAAGGTGAGGGAGTGGTTAGGACCAAGGTTAGGACTTGGTTAGGACTTAGAGATTAATAGCAAAAGTACACTGTGCAGGATAGTGGGAGCTGAATCAAACTAGCTGTCTGGGCAAGTGCGTCTTTCGGTGAATTGAGCAGAGTGAATATGTACCTATACAATACATGTGTCTGTTGGAGCCAAACAAAAATTGGATCAGCCAATCAACGGCTGGAGTGGGCGGGGCGATTACCATATATGGTCATAAAATCAGACAACCTCATCTTTTCCATGTATCCTAGCATTCAAATGAAAAAATAAGGCATAAGAATGTTTCTTTAACCACACAACTTGCAAGGCCTACAATCACTCGGTGCATAATGCACTGGCGGCTAAATCGCAGAGTTACAATACAAGGTCAAACAGTGATTGGCAAATGTGGCGAATTGAAACAGACGCGGCAAAAAATGTAAGCAGCACCTTGGTTTGAAAATGTCATTATTTTTATTATTTTGTTTTTGGTTTTCCAATTTTGGTTAAATTAGGTATTATTTTAAAATTAAAATATTTATTAAAATAAAATTAAATCTTTAGGTAAACAATTTTCTTTCAAAACACCAATCCATTTATGGAATGGCCAGCTGATTGTTCATTGTGACGCCCGGAACATGCAGAAAAGCCGTTTTCCTATCACCATTTTTGAGTGAATTCGCTGAGTTTAATCGAATCTCGTTAATTCGTAGTGGAAAATGGAAGCCTTTTCTCTCTGATAAGTGGACGCGAGAGAGTCGCATTTATGCCCTAACTACAGGGTGATCGAAAAAAAAGTGTCACCCCTAACTTAAAATCTACATAACTCGCGACTGGTAGGTCGGATGACTTCGCGCCAGGCAGCATCAGAAAGAGCAGGTAATTTTTTTCAATTGAATGTATTCATGATTGTTTTCTATTCCAAATCATGTCCCCATGGGCTCAAAAACCAGTCAATGTGCGGCTTTCACGTGAAACGAAATTCACCGAACGGGAACGGACACCGCTGAACGAGAACAATGAGTATCGTAACTCAACATGACACACACCTTACACATTACACATGGAGTGTATGTATGTTGTTCACTGCAGACTGTTTCTCAGCTGACCTTAGACTCGTTTCTCAGCTGACCTTAGGCAAGGCAGACTTTATCAGATCTTCCTTGCAAACATGCGGCCTCATTATTCACAAATTCGCCGGTAACTAGCGAAACATTGCGACAACCTGCACTACCGGATTATCAATTTTATGCAGCGGTAACCATGGAACAGTTAAGAAAAATGCTCACGTGAGCTGTCACGTGAGCTGTCAGATCAAAAACTCTGTCAAAAGTACAAATTCGCACAACCAAACTTTTGAACACGCCAAATTGCGTCCTTAACATACTTTTTGAATAGCTACATCTTCGTTTGCGGCATAAACCATGCATATTTACATCCATTCGAAAGGAAATTGTATGCTCTTTCTTATGCTGCCTGGCGCAAGGTCGCACGACCAACCAATCGCGAGTTATATGGCTTTTAAATTAGGGGTGACACTTTTTTTCGATCACCCTGTATATGGTCATCAAAAGCAGTGGCGTATCCAAGGGGGACCCTGGGGGTCCTAGGATCCCCCTGGAGCCTAGAAAAAAAGTTTTTTTATAACACGGAAAAAATTGAAATGACTTCAAGGGCCCTTTTGACCACTTCCCATGTTATTCGCTAAAAGAAAAAGTATTGTAGAACTCTTTTGAGGATTATTAGAGGACACATTTAGGCCAATGAGGGACCTTGTGAAGGATACAGAGGGCCCTCTCAGGCACACAGAGAGCCCTCTCGGGCACACAGAGGGCCCTCTCAGGTACACAGAGAGCCCTCTCGGGCACGCAGAGGGCCCTCTCAGGTACACAGAGGGCCCTCTCAGGCTCACATAGGGCCCTCTCAGGCACACAGAGGGCCCTCTCAGGCACACAGAGGGCCCTCTCAGGTACATAGAGGTCCCTCTCAGGCACACAGAGGGCCCTCTCAGGCTCACAGAGGGTCCTCTCAGGCACACAGAGGGTCCTCTCAGGCACACAGAGGGTCCTCTCATGCACACAGAGGGCCCTCTAGGGCTCACAGAGGGCCCTCTCAGGCACACATAGGGCCTTCTCAGGCACACAGAGGGCCCTCTCAGGCAAACAGATGGCCCTCTCAGGTACACAGAGGGCCCTTTCAGGCACATAGAGGGCGCTCTCAGGTACACAGAGGGTCCTCTTAGACACACAGAGGGCCCTCTCAGGCAAACAGAGGGCCCTCTCAGGTACACAGAGGGCCCTTTCAGGCACACAGAGGGCCCTCTCAGGCACACAGAGGGCCCTCTCAGGCACACAGAGGGCCCTCTCAGGTACACAGAGGGCCCTCTCAGCCAGGCACACATAGGGCCCTCTCAGGCACACATAGGGCCCTCTCAGGCACACAGAGGGCCCTCGCAGGCAAACAGAGGGCCCTCTCAGGTACACAGAGGGCCCTTTCAGGCACACAGAGGACCCTTTCAGGCACACAGAGGACCCTTTCAGGCGAACAGAGGGCCGTCTCAGGTACACAGAGGACCCTTTCAGGCACACAGAGGGCCCTCTCAAACACACAGAGGGCCCTCTCAGGTACTCAGGGGGGCCTCCCAAGCACACAAAGGGCCCTCTAAGACCAGCAGAGGGCCCCTTAAGACGAACAGAAGGTCCTCTGAGGTACGAGGGTCAATGTCAGGCCACAAGGTACCCTATGAGGCCACCAGACGGCCCTCTTAGATCAAAGATGGTCCCTGGAGGTCACCAAAGGGCCCTCTGAGGTGAACAAAGGGCCCTCTGAGATCGAAGAGATCAAAGAGATCAAAGAGGGCCCTCTAAGGCGAATGGAGGGCCTTCAAAGGTCACAAAGTGCCCTCTGAGGCCACTGGAGGGCCTTCTGAGGTGATATGAGGCTATGTCAGACCACCATGAGCCCTATGAGGTTTAGGCCCTCTGAGATCAAAGAGGGTCCTTGGAAGTCATCGGAGTACCCCTTAAGGCTCATTGAGGCGAACAAAGGCCAGAGGGCCCCCTTAGACACCACAAAGAAGTAAAAAAGATCCCTCTGAGGTCATAGACAGCTCTCTGAGATGTAATAGGGCCATTTGAGGCCTCCGAGGGCCCTCTGATGCCACAGAGAGGCGCCCTCTGATGCCAAAATAGGGTCCTCTGAAGTCTAAATCCACCAGAGGGCCCTCTGAGGCGAACAGAGGGCCCTAACATCCACCTCAAAGAGGGCCCTCTGAAAATCAACTGGCCCTCGGAGTCAGTGTCCCAAAATCGTATTTTGGCTTGGGTGTCAGAGGGGGAAAAGGTCACCCAAAAGAGGGATAAGAGTGGACAATTGTCAGTCACAGGGCAGTCGGAGCCCTCTGAGAAGGCCACTTGAGCCTTACAACAGAGGGCCCTCTGAGGTGATATGAAGGCTATGTCAGGCCACTATGGGCTCTATGAGGTCATCAGGCACTCTGAGGAAAAAGCTCTGAGGCGAACAGAGGGCCCTTGGACAATCAGAGGACTTTTTAGGTCAACTAGGGGCCTAATGAGGCCAGCAAAGGACCCTTTGGGACACAAACAGGGCCTCTCAGGCACCCGGAGGGACCTCTTTTCTAAGGCAAACAGGGGGTCACCTTAGATGATATGAGGGCTATTTTAGGCCACTAGGGGCCTCATGTATTAGACCAACATACGGTCATTTGAAGTAAAAGAGAACCTTTTGAGGTAAAAAGGGCCCCTGGAGAGAAAACAGAGGGACCTGTCAGGTACCCAGAAGGTCCATGGAGGCCACTAGAGAACCCTTTGAGGCCAGTGATGGTCTTCAGAGGCCATCAGAGGGTCCCTCTGAGGGTAACAGAGGGTCCTTAAGACGACCAGAGGCCCTCCGTGAAAATGCGGGCGTCACAAGGCCCGGTTTGCATCAAAGGTCAGGTAGCTATGCCCAGTTTTGGCTCTCTGTTGCCTGCCGACGTGTTCCCAGCTGTCGCAAAAAAAAAAAACATGTGGTGGCACCCCCCCCCCCCCCGCCCGGCCAGGGTCCTTCTAACCAGGGATGCGGAGGCGTGGAAATTTCAGACGGCTCCGGCTCCGGCTCCGGAGAAAAAAAATCGGCTTCGGCTCCGGCTCCGGCTCCGGCTTCGACTCAGTTCATCTCATCCAGTTCATCCTTTATACCAATAAATACGGGTGGAAAAGAAAAGATGAAGGATTGGTTCACGTTGTTTCTGTATTTGCATAACAAGGCTATTTTGAATACCACATATTTTACTGCCTTGCAGGCACTGTGAAACCGAACTAGGTCAATGTTTTCCTCTTCAAAAAAAAAAAAAAGAAGAAAAAAAAACAGCCGGAGTCGCCGCCTTTTTTACCGCTCCGGCTCCGGCTCCGGGCTATATTGTTTCACGGCTCCGGCTCCGGCTCCGGCTCCAGGCAAAATATGCCGGCACCGGCGGCTCCTCCGGCTCCAGCTCCGACTCCGCACCCCTGCATCTATAACTCGGCTTCTGAGCCACGTACCAACACGCCTAAGGCAGTGTTCGAAGGGACGCAAGCAAACAATAATGACGAAATTACGCCTGTCACTTTTTAGATCAGTTCAAAATTCAGTTCACATAGGTCATCCAAGTTTAAATTTCGCCAATTTTCAGGTCCAATTTCGACAATTTTCAACAAACCATCGCATGATTCGGAAATGAATAGAGCTACAGTACCGAGGAAAAGCGTAGTTAATAGCTCTTTTAACACCCCTTTCGCCTTTTCCATCCTCAGGACATTCAAATCCTTCTCCTCCATGCCGCAACCCCTGATCCGGGCTGGACCTGGACGGGCAACTTTATTCCATGCGGGCGGCTCCCATTGGAGCGCACTGCAGCTCCTAAGGAAGCACACTCATAACCGGGTGCAGTGAGCACTTGGGAGGCTGGTCGGCCTGTCCTGTTGGACAGGCTCAGCCCCAGTGAGTCACCAAGGTGCCCGCCCAGACCAATGTCACCCTCAATTCCTATCATCCCTCCGGCCCTGAAATGGCCTGTCAGACCGAAAGCCGAAAGGGCCTGGGTCCAACCCAACAAAACAAACAAAGCTCTTTTAACGCACTTTCTCTAAACTGTGCTCAGATTTGACCTAAGCCTGTTAATTGTACACTTTTTATATCGGAACATTTTCATGTTCCTACAGCTCTGTAGGCCTGATAGCTCTTCCTGCGAAACCTTTTTTGGGTCGAAAATGGCAGAACATGACGTCATTCTGACGTATTTGCGGCCAACCTATCAAAGCCTCTGGAAAAGGTCACAATGTGTAAAATGGATGCCCGGAGAGGTCCTGAAAGTTTGGTGGCGATATCTGCAGTCATTTAGGAGATAGCTACGGAAGAGGACAGGGGGCCGTTTCGCCCCCCCCCCTTGCGGGGCGCGGGCTAACGCCCTTTCAACTCAGGCTTCAAGGGCCCTTTTGCCACTTAAGGGCCCTTTCAACCCAGTCAGTCAAGGGCCCTTTTGACTGCGGACCCCCCCCCCCCCCCCTGAGAGAAATCCTAGATACGCCACTGATCAAAAGTCTATTTATTGACCAATCAATTTTTTATCTTCGCCTCGTAGTTTCCCCAACTGGCTTGATTTGGGTCATGTTCAAAACTAGGAGTCAAATCAATTGGGTCAAAGGTCTGTCACCAGGCTGGGAATCCTCTCCAGCCTGTCCTGAAGAAAATAAATCTAGGTGTTTTTGCTACAGTATTGAAAACCAGCATTAGTGATTAAAAGATACAATTTGTGAATGATTATTCCCTAGATGAACTCTTCTCGTTTTTCATTGCCATTTTTTCAAGTTTCCCTTCTCTTTCATCATCTTTTTCCACAGATCACAATTGTCTTGGCATCATTATAACATACTAATGGGAACAGAGTATGCAGTGTTGCGTTGCGCGTAACTTTTTCTTTCTTCCTTTCTTTAAAGTTAGTCTGAACCTTTTGCAGGGAAGGATTCACAAGGACAGAGCCCCCGTTAAGCAAAGCTTTTTGCGTTGACCCTGCCCTCTACCCTCTGATCACGCAATTCCGGTTCTATGGCAGAATTTGGAGTCCCCAAAGCTTAACGTGCGCACATAGCCGCGCACGGCCGGTCCCCTCAGTCCTCACTGACTTAGCCTGGCTACGGCCTGCCACCAACCTCAACCATACCAGTCAGGAGGCTCGTAACCGTCAAGCGCCCGTCGTGCTTCAAACACGGGTTATTTTAACCGGGAACGCGTGCTCTCACCACGCGGAGTCCAACGCTCTACCGACTGAGCTACGGGACCGGCAAACTTTATACACACAAGGTCAATAAAGCACGTTTGTTGTCGCCCGCAGCGCATGCAGTATGAGCGGCTGTATTGTGGCCGGGGCAGCGTTTCGCCTGGCCGGGCGGACGGGCCGGTCGGGCCGGCGTGCCCTCTGCTGGACCGCCTCCCGACAATCTGAGGTCAGCGGCGGAGACACGCAGACAGGGCGACCCACCGCGGACGAAACCACCGCGACCACTGCCACCAGCACGTTCGCCGAGTCGTTCAAGAAGTTTGAGGGCCTGAACCAGCCAAAAGGCGATGAGACCCGGCGCAGTGAATCGTTCCTGACGCTGCTCAGGAACTCGCCCTTCATAAAGGTACTGACCAGTTGTTAGCTCATCGACACAGTGTTTATGTCTGTAGTGTATATGACTGGTTCACATACACCAGACTGAAGCTGTATCTTTATTGTCATTGTCCTTTCAAGGCACTATTTTACCTTGAGCAGTTATTGAGATAGTCTCGATAGGACACTCCATTTGACCATGATCCCTAACCGTGTCTGTTGCCAGATGGGAGACCCGACCGGAAAGGTAGTCGAAGGCGAGGTGTTTCACGTCGTGGGCGACGACCTCTATATCGACTTCGGCGGCAAGTTCCACTGCGTCTGCCCCCGGCCGCCGCGACGCTCAGAGTAAGGATGCGGAGCTAGCGCTATCGGTCATTCAAACAGTTTCATAAGAATTTATGCAGGTAGGCATACAAACCCTCGGTAAAACCGTGTCTTCAACAGACAGTAATTAAAACAATTTGATGAAGCGGGTTGATGTTTGCTTCTAAGACACCCAACCTATTCCTTTTTTCGTTGATATCTTTTGTTTGGGGCGTGTTATGGCTATTTGTAACTTGCTTTCACCACACACTCGGTAACGGATCTTCGGCGCCCACAGTGACCCATTCATGTACTTCCAGTGAGTGATCCACGATCCTCCTGACCTATGACTGCTGATCCATTGACTGATCTCCCCCTCAAAGAACCTGATCCTCACACCCCCAGTGACCATTCCATTCACCCCTAGTGACTGCTCCACTCCCCCACTGACCAATTTTTCCCCTTCCCTCCCCCAGAGAGTACGTGCTGGGAGCGCGCGTGCGCTTGCGTCTGCACCAGCTCGAGCTGTCGTCACTCTTCCTCGGCGCCAAGCGCGACCTCAGCCTGTTGGAAGCCGACGCCACCCTCCTAGGTATCATCTCGTCTCCGTACCGATCCAAGGCCAAGCAAGCCACGTGAGCTGGGACCACGCGCAGGTCAGCCCGAACTGGCGTGAAGAGGTGCTCACTAGAGCTGTACAGTGTATTCAACAGTGTATGCATGCCGCGGAAACAAGCGAGCAGGGTGACCGACGGTCGGTCGCGCCCTGCCCGTAACGCAATACATTCTGTCAAAGTAGTTACTGTGTACAGGGACATCATGGCTCACTCTTCAAACACACATAACGATAAAACAATGCCCACCGGCGGGAGTGGTATAAATATGCAAATTCAACAAACTGCAGAGAAAGCCTCACGATTTTCTGATACATCGATACCACACTGATCCCACATCCATAAATGTGTAAACTTGGTCATCACTTGAAAGTATTTAAGTGCGGCAACATTCATACTGAGAATATGACGCTTGTTAGTGTCACCACTGAGCTTATCTCAACACTACCATAAGTCGTCGCTATTTAGCGAGCAAGTGACAAGGCCGGCTTGGCGGCTGCTCCCGCAAGCTGTCATCGTCACATGCTCTGCGGCAGACCCTTCCCCGAACGTCATTTGTACACGTCACAATGGTCACATCACTGGCTACTCGTCACGGTCACACACGTCACCGATCTGACGTCTGTGAGGTCAGGCGATCAGACGCTCCGTGCGGGTAGCATAAGGCTAACAAACGACCTTCGTCCCATTCCCATACACTGCATCCGAACCGCTCGGGGACAGGGGATCACTTGTGCAGAGTTTCACAAACCGAACTCATCTCGGTGTCGCGCGAGTCACCAAACATACAACGCCTCAGCTCTAGTTTAGGCCACCAGAGGTCCATGCCTATCAGCCACTTCATTGTCGGTTTCTGCATTATGGCTCAACACTACACTGTTTGCCATCAGGCGCCTGTATTGGGAGTCCTGTTTATTTCACCGTTTACCGACCACTGGCTCGTCTTGCATGCCTCTCTTTTATTTCTCCATCTCTCTTTGCTCTCTTCCTTTCGGACCACCCTCGGTCCATTCCTAATGCCCGTCCTATATGCTGGAGCTTACTCGCCCCATCTTAACTACCAGACTGGGTAGCTCAAGCACTTCCTACCGCTATGACCGTCGACTGCCCTCGAAGGCAGTGATGGTTGACGGCGCCTTGGTGGGACACTGATCCTCGTCGCTGCCGTCGGAGCAGTGGACGATGCCATCACACACCTCCGAGGGGCTGAGGCAGCGGCCTAGCCGGCACCTGAAGGGGGGGGGGGGGTGAGAGTTAGGTCACACACACACACACTTGATGTATTGAGAACTTGATGTAGTGAGACACCGTGGTGCAAAATGGCTTAATGTCTGGTGCACCAGCAAATCTCGAAGTTAGGGCTAGGGAGACCGGTACTCATTCGAGCAAAATAGGTCAAGTGGGCCCAAGTTGCACAGATCCCTACTCCCGTGGGTCACTCCATACTTGCGCGACCTTCTCTCGTCTCATTGACTTTTGACCGTCCTGTGGGTCGGAAACCTTTCTGACTATCCCCTGTCCCCATCCCATTGGCCTGGCACCATCCTCTTGTCCGCCGTCCCCTCGTCCTACTGTTATGGGCGCAAAATGACCTTAGCAGTCGGCGCGCCCTAAAGCCCCAATCAACAAACAAACCCCTCGTCCTACTAACCTGTGACCGCGGCAGCCATGCCGCGCCGCCGGCGGCAATGGCCCCTCAATGACGTCATCAATCCAGCTGGCATAATTGGCCACCTTGGTGTAGACGCCGGGCCGGCCGGCTCGCGCGCAGCCGTACCCGTTGCTGGTGATACCGGTCAGCATCCACTCGCCGGACGGCTCCTGTGGAGGGGTTAAACAAAGTCAGCGGAGGTCAGTGGAGTCGCTTTAGTTTATTTGACAAAAATCAACACCTATCCGTAACTGATATTTTGCATGTTCCATTATTTGGTAACTTCTTTAAGGATTACGGCTTTAGCAACGCCTTGTTTCTACCTCAAATTGTACCGCTCGTCATTTTGTCAACAGGGCCGTTGCAGCTGAACTGGTTTGGCCGCTTTACCGCTGCTCTATTTCCCCCGGCCATGTCCCGCCGTGGTTTCATCTCTCCACCCTCTACTTCTCCATTCCCCATTCACTGACCTGACACATAAGCGGGCCGCCGCTGTCGCCCAGGCAGGCGTCTCGGCCGCCTCGCTCGTATCCCGCGCAAAACATGTTCTCAGTGATCTTGTACAGGGGCAGGAACACTGTGCGCTTCTTGCACTCCTGGGAGGAGATGAGAGGCACCTGCACCTCCTGTAGGGTGTCCGCTGCACGGTGGAGACACCAACGGTCAGATAATGAACTAATGTGAGGCTCCTCTGCATAGTGCACAGTGGCGTCATACCTACACTGTCAACATAGAAAACTGGCACATGAGCGGGTTCCTATGTCCTGTGTCCCGTGTTTCTTTGTTCGTCTCCGTGTCCTCTGTTTCAGGAATACAGAGCCGTTCCTTTTTTGTTACAAAAGATCCATCTAATAAAGATTGAATTGTGAAGCACTATTGTTATAGATTATGATTATTTATGATCATGCATACCTATCGTATGCATGAATTATGATTATTCATGCATGCAGACCACTCCCGCGCCTAATCTTATGTTTATTTTCATTCAATCACCTCAATGCATCATGCCATACATATCGTATTTTCTTGTTACTCTGTTGTACTCACGGAATATTTTGCCGGACTCGAAGAGCTGTCCCCACCCGACCACTGTGCAGAGGGCGCCGTTCTGAATCTCGCTCTGGGGCGGCGGCAGGCACGCCGGCCGCACAAAGTCGCTCATCCTGAGAACGTTCAAACCGCGTCACGTTGTGGAATTACAGTCGCGCTCAGTCGTTTGGGTATTGATGAATTGACGGTAGATTGAAATACCAAGCAATGACTGCATATTTTTAAATAGAAAATGACTGATAAATCATGCTAAATAGAATAGCTTTTCTAGCTTGTCTGCGACTGAATGGTAACGGTCCAAGACTCAAACTACCAAAGTGAGTGCTGAGGAGTGAGCAGTTCTTACACTTCATAGACATATGTATACTTTGTCTGTCCCCTCCAATCCCTGATGCGGAGTCCCGGGTCACTTACTGGACGGGCTCTCTCAGTCGGAGCAGCGCGATGTCGTGCACATATCCGACATCCTGGTAGTCCGGGTGCATGATGACGTGAGAGACCTCGTGGAGCCGCTCATAGGGCGAGAGCAGGCTGCTACCGCGACGGTACGCTCCCAGCCGCGCCAGCCAGTAGCGTGTCGTCGACCTGGGGGCAGATGTTATTCATTGACTGCGGGCTAAGTTCTGTGTGTTTCTCAGGCGATCGATTGCTGTTTTCTCCCATCTCTCTCAGGTAGATGAATTTATTAGCAATGATATACCCGAGACCATTGTGAAGTCATTGACGATAGATCGTCCGTAAATGGGTACAAAATTGTTCGTGTTAGAAAATGTAGCTGAATCGAGCTCTAGTTGTCCTTCAACCTCTGTAGTCTGTACCACCCATCGCACCCTCTTTAGCACTCTGCCCTCCCTCAGTAGCACCCCTCTCACCCTCTGTAGCACCCCTCTCACCTGAGGTAGCCCCTTCTCACCCTCTGTAGCACTCCCTCACTCTGTAGCACTCCCCTCACCATCTTTAGCACCCCTCTCACCTGAGATAGCAGTGACCGGCGGAGAGCAGCCACCGATCTGAGATGAGTGTGGCGCCGCACTGGTACTCCCCGTCCCTATACATTGCCGCCTGCCACGGCCAGGCGCCCGGACTGGAGTTGCCACCACCCACGATCCTGTAGTGTTACAGGAGGAGCGTCACTTGTCACAGAACATGTCACATTACAATGGGAGGTTACTTGTCACATAATACGTCACGTTACAGAGGGAGGGTCACTTGTCACAGAACACGCCACGTTACAGAGGGAGTTTACTTGTCACAGAACTCGTCACGTTACAGAGGGAGGGTCACTTGTCACAGAACACGTCACGTTACAGAGGGAGGGTCACTTATCACAGAACTCGTCACGTTACAGAGGATACGTCACATGTCACGCTAGAGAACATCACTTGTCTAGCTAGGTACCTACAGGTTACGGGAGTTATGGCGTTTTTCGTGACGACGTTATTCGTCATATCATTGGCCAGGCAAGGCAGGCATGTCTCTGTTTCACAAAGACTGATTACAAAAGCTTCCTTGATCCGAAAACGACTCCAGTAATCTAATCAAGGACATGATTTGTTCCATTTTCATTTTCAGCCTTCCCCGTTGATTACCACCGCCAGGTTCATTCATCGCCGTCCATTGGATAGTTGTCTCACCCCGTGCGTTGGACAATGGTATCAGGTCTCAGGCCGTGGACAGTGATGTCGGACTACTGAGTAGTGAGTACTGACCTCGCCTGCCGCTGCTTGGCCCGGGGTCGTAGGCCGCACTGTAGCTGTCCGCAGGTGACGTGCAGTGCCGTCTCACGGGGGCATGTATCCTCAGCGAACACCAGGCTGGCCCTGCGGGTCAGGGGGACGTGTTCAGAGGGCGTCCGGGGACATAGAGGAGCTCTAAGCCACTAGAGGACATTGTTAGACGATGCTGGTCGACAAGTGGGACAATGTCGCATAATGAGAGTCGTCGTTGTGTGGGGCAGCCTGAGGGACACTAATTGTTCCTAAAAACTGTAGGGCAGTAATCCCAAGAGAGCCTTCACCCTCCTGTGATCAACGTAACAAGCTAGCATAGCCTGACAGTTGGCTGGGACATGGCGGACTGAATGTCCGTGGTGAATGACTGCTGAAGAGTGGACTCACTTTTCTGCCTCCGGTAGAACGGTATTCGGTGAAAAGAGCAGCTTGAAGAACGGGTCGTCGGTTGGCTCCACCGTGGACTCGGGCACGTGTGGTCCTACCGACTTCACCGCCTTGGCATCTCTGAAATACACATCAATCATGTCAGTCGCAGACTCATGGATTTGGTGCTGCTGGTGTACAGAAGACATACGAGCACACACTGAATGCTGGTTTCTTACTGAAGATTGGTGATATGAAACGCACGTCGCACACGATGATCATGGGCACTGGGCAGTCTCTTTCCGGTGAGACCTTCTTACCCCTCACCAGTTGGTGGATAGGCGAGACCATTTCAGCCTCATCCTTATTCACAATCAGGCAAGACCC